GGGAGGGCTGGGCAGCAGCCGAGACTGGCCAGGGCGTGAGGCCGCCGCCCTCCTTGCCACTGCTGGCAGCAGCCTGGGCTGGAAGAAGCCACCGCGGGGGAGCAGCCCGCCCCGGGGGTCTCAGCGGGAGATGGGTGCCCCCGCAGCCTCCCCACTTCCTCCGAGTGCACTGGCAGGACAGCCGGTGGCCACGCCCGAGGCGCCCACCAGCCCTCCGCCCTCAGGCTGCAGCGGCCCCGCCTCTGGGCCTCCAGGCCGGCCCCTCGCCCAGGGAGACTTTCACATCTGCGGGGAACGTCTCCGGCCGGGGTCGTGGACGTAGCTTCAGAACGTCCAGGTGCCCGGAGACTCCCCCCGGGGCCCGGCTGGCGGTCGCCCGTCAGGCCCTCCGAGTCTGCCGCTGACCCGCTGCCGCTCTGAGGAGCCCCCGCCTGCGCGAAACGCGAGTGCTGCGGTCGGCCGCGGGTCCTCGTGTCCTCGTGGGCAGCTGTTCTCGGGCCATGGGAGCAGGGCCGCCCCCGCCCCGCCCCCGCCCCGCTCTGGCCAGGTTGGCGTCCTCGGCCTGCGGGTCCCTTCCGGGTCCGACCTGAAGAGAGTCGCAGGTGCGGCTAGCTGTGACCCTGCGAGCACAGCTGTCGTCCCCGCTGGCCGCTTGCAGTGGCCGGAGGAGCCGCGTGGCGGGCTTGCTGACCTCTGACGCTGAAGAGCGGGGCGGTGGCGGGGCGGGGGGGCACAGACCGCGGCGAACTCGTGGATGGGGCCCTCGGGCTCCTGGCCGCCCTCGGCCCGCAGGGACGCGGTGTTCTGGGCGGCGTGTGAGGCCGACGGCCCTCGCCATCCGGGGTCCTGCGTCCTTCCACTCTGAAACGCCGTGGGACTGTCCGTGGCGCAGGGACAAAGGGAGCAGTCACTGTTGCTCACTCGGGGACGCTACAGACGGGCTTTCCTGTGTTCCAGATCAAAGGTCACGCGCAGCCCTCAGACAGCTCCCGCCGGCAGAGCTGGCCCTGGGCGCCGCCGCGCAGGTGCGTGTCTCCCGTCCCGGGCTGGCCTGGGCGCCCGTGGGGTTCTTCTCACGCGAGCTTGCCTGTGACGCTGGAAACTGCTCGCGGCACTGAGCTTCGCAAGGCGGAACTCGGTTCTGTTGACCGCAGTCATCCCCCCGCCCCCCGGCTGGGCTGGGCCCCCCCCGTGTGCCGTCGCGGTGTGGGGCGACCCGCGAGGCTGGCAGTGCCAGAGGTGTGTTGGGAGGGCCGAGGACTGCAGTCCAGGGCACGCAGATGGAGCCTGAGGCCGGAGGTCACGCCCGGGGGGGCGGTGCCCGCTACCGTGGCGCTGTTCCCAGGCCGGGCACAGAGCGGGTTCGGGGACAGAAAGCCGCCCCTTCTGGGGCTCCCCCAGCCCTGCCCCTTTCGAGGGGCCAGTTCTGGGGCTCGCCACAGGGACGGACCGGATGTCAGGCCTAAAGAGAGCCCGTTCGAGTTTGGGGACCCCCCAGGGGGCCCTGCCCGCTGGGCAGCGCGTGTGAGCGCAGCACGGCGAGGCCAGCTGCTGGCCCGACCCCCGGGAGTGACCGCCCGCCGCCCCCTCAGCAGTGCGCTCTGTCCATCTGCCTGTTCTGCTCCCCGCCCCGTCCCTGGGGAGACAGGCCCTGCGCCTCAGTTCTGTGCATCAACAAATAACGCTTTACAGTTGTCTCGAGAAACATCCAGTTGCCCGCTGCCCCTGGCAGAACCGCAAACGGGAGGAGCAGGTAGCTCCGCCTGTGCCTCTGCTCGAGCCAAGCACGTCCGTCGGGCTGCGAGGCTGCGTCCCCGTCCGCGCTCAGAGCGGCTCTGGCGTCCCTGCCGTGCGGGGCTGGCCTTCGCCCCCGCCCCGGGCGCCTCGTCCGTGTGCCCTGCTGCCCCTGGCTTCCGCGGCGCTGCCCTCCGCCCTGGAAGGCCTGACACTGGCGCTGAGCCGCGCCGCCCGTGGGCCCCTGGGCAAGGCTGGCCCTGTGCACGGAGACTCCGTGGGGCCCCGAGCCCCTGGGGCTGTCCGCCCCTGCCCGGCTGAGTCCGGAGGGCCGGGCTGCTCTGGGCTGCTCTGGGCCCCGGCCGGCCGCGCCGCGGGCTGCTGGGGGCGGGCAGAGTGGGGTCCCCAGCGGTCTGGGAGCGTCCGAGCCCGCCCATGTCTTCCTCGGTGCTCGTCGCCCGTGAGGCGTTCACACGCGGGCCTGGGCGCTGGGCCTGCTGGCGCGGCCGCAGGGTGGGCCGTGGCGGGAGCCGGGAGGCCGCTGGGAACCTGGACCCGCGGTCGGCAGGGCTCCGGCAGCTCCGCCTTTCGCCGTCACGTGGGTTTGTTTCGTTTTCTGAAATCTCCAGCTGGAGGTCCTCTCTAGGATTCATTTCTTGATGCCTTCCAGAACGGGCACAGGCCAGAGATGAGGGTGGGTGAGAGGACTCCCCAGGGCCAGCGTGGGGAGCAGGACGGGCGACTGACTGACGCGCCCCGGCCCCTCCCTGGCCGGGACCGCGCCGTGCTGGGCTCTGACGCTGCGCCACAGGGAGGCTGGGAAGCGGCGTCATGTGCAGGCGTCAGAACTTACCGGAAACATTTCCCGCGGCCCCCGGACGAGCCTGCCTCGGCCGCGGCTGGACAGCTGCCTTCGCGCGCCCTCAGCGGCCCTGTCTCTTGCAGGGCGCCGGAGCTCAGCCCCCCGCAGACCCCCAGAGGTGAGCCGGCCCTGCCCCCGCGCGCCGCCAGCCTCGGGAGGGCGACGGGCGGGGTGCGGCGCCTGGGCTTGCGGGCAGTCTGCGTCCGCGGCGCCGCGGCTGCTGATTCCGCTCTGCCCGTAGCTGTTCGTCCCATCTCATCGCGGAGTACGAGAAGCAGCTGGAGCAGCTGAGCCGGCAGCTGGAGTGCTACCAGGTACGCGGCCCCCGCCGCCCGCGACGCCCGTCCGGAGCCCTCCCAGGGGCGCCCACTGTCCCGGCGGGATGTTTCCCAGGCTGTGGCGCTCACTCCGCTGCAGGCCCGACCGTGCAGCGTCTCCGGAGGCGCGGGGACTCGCCTGGGGGTGAGGGGTCCCCAGGCGTCTGCGCCTTCCCGCGAGCCGGGCCCTGCTGAGCCCTCGGGCGACGGCCTCTCTGGTGGGACCGGCGAGCCCTCGGGACCTGCCTCACCTTCCTGCAGGTGGCGGCTGGCGGGAACACACCCTCCTCCGGACTGAGCCCGCGACGGCCGCGGGGGTGGGGACACCGCACCCCGTCTCGGCTTGCCGCCCGCCCCTGCGTGGGCAGCCGGGGGCTCCCGGTGCCCTCGGCCTGGCACACGGGAGCCCCAGTGCTGAGGACGCGCAGACGCCAGGACGTAACGCAGCACCGTGACAGGTCGGCACCCGCCACCAGGGAGAATCGTCTCCCGCGTCCAGGCTGCGGCGGCCGCGTCCTCCAGCCGCTCAGGCTCTTGCGCCGCGCCCGCTTCACGCGCATTTCCCAGGCCGTGCTGTGACGGGGGCCCGGGGGCCCG